CAACCATGTCCCAAGTGCCACATCCAGATGGCTCCTGCACACTGCCGGGGATGGAGACTCCACCACCTCCACAAGCAACTTACTACAACGCCTAACCTCCAGTGAGAAGCTGTTTCTAACATTATCCTGATGCTCCCCTGTGCAGCTTGGGGCCGGTTCCTCCGCTCCTGTCCCTTGTTCCCTGGGAGCAGTGAGATGGGCAGGGATCCCATCACACACTTCCCCTCCCAAGGACATGTCCCACAGGGAGCAGCGTGCCTGGCACCCGTGGCCCACTGCAGCTCCCACAAACAGCTCACAGAGAGCTCCATCCCTTGCCCTGAAAGGCAGGACACGCCGGGGACCACGCAGATGTTTGTGCCGCAATGAACAAGGAATGTTGTCTTGTTCAGGAATGATCTTAAATCTTTTTGGTAACACGACCTGAAGAATTATTCCCCGTTCACTTCTTAAGGGACACAAACCCCATCCTTTGCTTATACAAGCATTAAAAAAAAGAAAAGAGAGAGGTCCTGAATTCACCGGAATATTCATCATTTCCAACCTTAAACCCAGAGCGTACAAACAGACGAATCCGGCAAGTCAGAAAGCAAAGCCAATTTAATCTGTGGCTCCCCTGAGGTAAATGTAGTTCACAGTCCTGCCCCCACCCCAACCTCAGCCATAATCCTTGCTTCCTGGAGGTAAGAAAGCACTGGAGTGAGGAAAATTCTGCAGCAGGATATAATGATCCAAAATGACAGGGACAATAATGACAATGAATTTCATGTCTCCCAGTCATGAGCTGGGGATGCTTGACTGGGCTGACTCACACGATTAAATTGTTACAGGTACAGCAGGAGACGCAGTTATCATCCGGTGCTTTTGGGAAGGCGCCTGGGGCAGCGGGCAGGCAGCGCGGCCCTTCAGTGGGGAGCAAAGGGCTCCTCCTGCAGCCACGGAGCTGCGCCCGCACCTCCGACACAGGCAAGCCTGGGTTAAAGATGCAGCTGGTGCAGGCCACTGATTTTATCCCTTCTGAAAATGATAAAAGCGCCCTGGCGGGGAAAGCGCGGCGGGACCGGAGCGAAGAGGCACGGCGTGCGCCGAAGGGAGCTGGGCCTGCCTGTCCGTGCCAGCTCCAGCTCCAGAATGCTGCAGAGCTCTGTGCTGGGCTCTCTGCACTGAACCCCAGGAGCTGGGCAGCCCTGGCAGCTGGGCCTGCCTGTCCGTGCCAGCTCCAGCTCCAGCTCCAGAATACTGCAGAGCTCTGTGCTGGCTCTCTGCACTGCACCCCAGAGCTGGGCAGCCCTGGCAGCTGGGCCTGCCTGTCCGTGCCAGCTGCAGCTCCAGAATGGACCAGAATGCTCCCGAGCTCTGTGCTGGCTCTCTGCCCCTTCCAGCCCCGCAGCCTGCAGGATTTCATGGGCAGCTCTGAGATGCAGAACGCCCTGGCACACCACAGGACATGGACACACCCCGAGTGTCTCTCAGCTACGCCATGGTCAGTGTGCCTGCAAGGCTTCCCTCACCCAGCCAGCCTCAGGCTGGAAACACCAGGACATATGAGCAGCTGCGTGTTTAAATTCACCTATGGAAAGTCTGTTCAGTGACAAACTGTCAGAGTTGTTATATCCAGGGAAGGAAAACAGCCACAGAGTTGTCTGTAATACCCCTATTACAGCTCAACATCTCCAAATATCCATTTGTCAAACATGAATTATAAAGCTACAACATTTCATAATTCAGGACACACTCAAATCCTAGGAAAAATAGCTACAAGAGCCCAAATAAAAAAAAACATTTATTCCATTTTTGACAGCTTAATGAATGCCCTACTCTTTTGCATTGATTTTTGTGTGTGTGTCTGTGTGTGCACGTGTGCCTGGGAAGGATTTCTCAGGGGGTTTGCTGTAAACAGGGAAAGCGAAATCCTCTGCCAAGGCTTTTTCGACTTTTAAATAACCTCCATATTAAAATATTTCAGCAGAGAACGTAAGCAAAACTACTGAGAATGCAAAAAATAAAAAAAAAACCCCAAAAAACAACTACTTACATCCCAGTAAACATACTGGAGATTTGTAGAACAAGAAATTAAACAATCCAATACCTCGATGTGGCAAGAGAGTCCCAGACACACCATATGTTAATTTCTTCTTTCAGGAAATAACAACAAATTCAAAAAGCACGGTCAGCAGAGACCTAGAATCTTAAATTTAGGATTGATTCCAGAACACAGATTTTCCTTACACACCTAAGGGCTCATCTTGCAAGGCAAAATATGTTACAGAAGCCTGCAAGCACCTAGAGACAGAAAAATAATGTATCACGAAGAGAACCGTGCCACTTGGAATTGCTAAACACTTTACATTGACACACTCTGGCCAGCTGGATCCCTGCTTTAATGGTTCTCCTAGTTCTTATCATAATGAACTCCATATAATTTAAATGGAGATTAATTCTTCCATTTAAAGTGCTTTGGAACAATCCTGCCCGAGATCCTGAGCTCAGCCCAGCCTCTCCCTGTGCCTCCTCTGCAGTTCTCCCGCAGCCCCTAAGTGGATCTGACAGATCCCTGCTCAGATAGCAGCCGCCTTCTCCCCCCAAAACGTTGCCTTTTTGCTATTCAGGAGTATCCTAATACCAACAAATGCTAAATGCAGTCTGACATGTCCCCCTAAGAAACAAACTTGCAAGTTGTGGCTTCAAAGCAAACCTTGAATAAATAGGACACGTTGTGTACACCCCGGCTAACATCCAACATATGCTTCGGCTTCCCGATGCTCAGGCAGAGCAGGAATAGCCTCTGGACAAGGCTCTTGCTGGTACTTGCACCCTCGATGATGCACCATTTCTTTGTGCCTCTATAAACAATTTAAAGGATGTAATGAAGACGACCCCATGAATTATGGATGGCTGGAGGTGCCAGCGGCCCCACCACGGACCACACAAAGACAGGGTTGGGCAGGGCTGCAGCACACAAAAACCAACCTGGGCACGCAGTGCCTGCACCTCTTCCCCCTGGCATCAGCAACAGCTCTGCTTGCAACCATTGCAGGGACAAGGAATAAAGGGAAGTGAGGAAATAGGATAAAACTGCATTTAACTGCACTTACAGTTAAGGCACTCCATCCTTAAAAGGCCAATTTATCGATTCATTCTTTGGGGGAGAGGGAAGGGATGGACAGAGAAGAGAGGGATGTCACCTACTTTAAGACTTGTATTTCGTTTTGCTGTTATTCAATACTCCATTTTATGACTAATCCTTCTGAAAGGACTAAAACAAGTTTAATTTCATCACCCCCTCCTCTACTTTCAGTTCCATTCCCTCTCCCTTTGTGCTCCATCCCTCTGGATTTAGGGTGTGACTACCTCATTAAAATTCAAGTACAATAATTTACAAGACCTAAAGGCAGCTTGCTGAAATGCTGTGACTTCAAGCCCATTTCCCGTGGCCAGAACACAGGTTAATTGATCAGGACAAAGCAGTTCACGTGCCCCAGCCCCACGGGCCACCCCGCAGCGGGGTGACACAGACAGCAGCGAGCTGAAACACGGCCTGTTCACAACTGAATTAATGCTCCAGCTGGACAGTCCTCATGCTGCACTAGGTGCAGCCTCAAAACACTCAGACGTGTATTCTCGACTGACAAATTTCATCCCTGAGTCCTTCAAACCCATCTTGTTCTTCAGGGAAACTGAGGTTTGGTGGAGCTTGGAGAGCTTTTTAAATTTCGATTCAAAACAGCATTTCTTTACATTCTGCCTGAAACCGAGGACAACTAAGCTGTATCTTATAGAGAAAGCAAAATGAAGCACGACAGATTTTTTTTTTCCCCTTTTTTTCTATTTTACTCTTCCTTCCCAATACTGAGTGTGGGTTTGTTTCCCTCTGTCAGGATGGCATTAAAACTCCAGAGACATCTCTCAGTCACTCGGAGCCCTGCCCTGCATGTGTTTGCCATCAAAGCCCACCTGGGCTTAGATGTTGAATCTTTAGATTTACAGCACTGTTTAAAACAATTATTCATGTAAGAAATATAAAGACCAATTTTAAGGCTACCCTGAAAGATGTGTCTTTGGAATGCTGGAGTAGTAAATAGCCACAATACAGCCAAATTATTTATTTAATCAGAAAAAACTTCACTAGATTATAAATAGATTTCAAGCTATAGTGCTCTTATGAGAAGCGTAATTACAGTTAAGAGAACCACTTCGTTCTTCTGGCAGGCTCCTGGGATCCCTTAAAACAAGCTAAGGAATAGCTCAGGATATGGAAAAAATAAACCTGAATTCCCTCTCTGTGTGCTTTGTATGGCAGGTCCTGGCACTGGGTACAAAAACTGCCACATAATCCCACAACAAATTTTGCTACATTTGCAAATTTTGCTCTCATTTCCTTCAGACCTTAAAAATAAGATAAAATGCAGCTTCTATCAGTAGTAAAATCAACTAAACACCAAGTCCATCCTTTAAATCCAACCCTCCTCCCAAACAAGAATCTGCACATACATATTCCCACACACATATATGAATTTTTAATTGGTTTTCCATGCTGTTGGGCTGTGTCTGAGACACCTGCAATTAACAACACAAGCTTTAGCCAGAAGCCTCATAAACCCCACTGGAGTCCAGTGTGTCTCCAGAGTTCTTCCCAGTCCAGAACCCCTTTGATGAGCTGATGAATTGTTCTGAATGCAGTTCTACAAAGGGAAAAGAATTCCCTTTATAATCCACCTTGTGTGAAGACCTTTCTGCTGCCAAAAGGTCAGAAACCACATCTCCACCAGAGCACCTTCACACTGCTCTACACCCACCAGCCAAGAAAAGCCACTGCATTTTCTCCTCCATCCACTAAGCTGCCGTTTGAAAACACGACTTATCTCCCCAACTAACAATGAAGAGGCAAGCTGAATCCTCCAAGCTGCAGAGAGCCGGGCTGCAATCTCCAGGCTCCCACTTGTGTTTTGAGCCCCAAACCCACAGCCCAGGATCACAGAGCAGGCAGAGAGGCCACGCACCGTCGTAGTAGACAATGGCTCCCACCAGCTTGTCCCTGCGCAGCATGGGGAACAGCTCCAGGGCCCGGTCCTTGGTCAGGACATAGCTGCTCTTCAGGCACTGGCTGCCCGCCACCAGGTCATACAGCTTGATCCCCATCCAGTAGTATGGCAACTGCCACCACCTGAGGGCAAACAGCACCGAGAAGGGGAAAAAAAATACAAATGAAGCATTCAGAAGTGCCTGCACGCTCTGTTATTGCAATAGAGAACACGCTGAGCAACACAGAATGTTCTTACGGCACTTCTACCTTGTTCAGCATTACGAGCTCGTAGTAACAAGACAATGTAAATACTCCAGACTTAGGTGTTGTTTGCCACTGTTTTCAACTGAGCTCCTCCCTGCAGTGAGGCAAGGATTTATTTGCTCTAAAATCAGGATCTAAACGGGGCTGTTGAGCCACTGTGTGAGATACTGGAGCTGTGTGTGCAAGCTGAGAGGATTCCCCCAAGGCAGGGTCTAAGGCCTCCTGCACAAACAGGACCACAATAAATGCATCAGCCACTGACCTACACAAGCTCCAGCTCTTACAGGCCACTCACACTAAGACAGGAATAATAAAAACAGGAATACTCTTAATAAAATTAAGTACCTTTAGCAAAACCTCCCCACTCTAAGTAGCCTGTTCCAGTGAGTAATTGCTCTTACAGACTGAAAATCCAACCCAAAGCACTGAGTGTCTTCCTCAGAGGAGGAGGAATCTGTTCTGTGCATACCCAACTGCCCTGTGCCCACAGGGACTGAACAGCACCTTGCTGGGAACACTGTGGGGACAAGGGTGCACTGAAAGAATAGCAAATACATCCTGGGAATGAGAGCTCTCTGCAGCTGTCCCTGTTGGGGTGCTGGAAGGGCTGCACCCCAGGACGTGCCCCCCAAAGCAGCAATTGCTGGCTGGGCACAAGTGAGCTTAGTGCTTCTGCAGCCCAGCAACTTTCCCTGGTTTAAGAGACCCCTGCCAGGCCAGGGTTTGCTTGTGAGAAGCCAAGGTAAAGGAGAGGAGGCACACAGAGCTTACTTGTAGATGGGGAGCATGATGGGCAGCGCAGCTGAGAGGTGGGGCGCGCTCTGCAGCAGGTGTGCACGCTCCTCCAGGGCCTCCTTCCCCATCCTGTACTGCAAAACACAGCCAGGGCCAGTGCCACAGCACCCACCCTTCTCCAGAGGCCCCTCACCATCCTGTACTGCCCAACGCCCACGCTCCTCCAGGGCCTCCTTCCCCATCCTGTACTGCAAAACACAGCCAGGGCCAGTGCCACAGCACCCACCCTTCTCCAGAGGCCCCTCACCATCCTGTACTGCCCAACGCCCACGCTCCTCCAGGGCCTCCTTCCCCATCCTGTACTGCAAAACACAGCCAGGGCCAGTGCCACAGCACCCACCCTTCTCCAGAGGCCCCTCACCATCCTGTACTGCCCAACGCCCACGCTCCTCCAGGGCCTCCTTCCCCATCCTGTACTGCAAAACACAGCCAGGGCCAGTGCCACAGCACCCACCCTTCTCCAGAGGCCCCTCACCATCCTGTACTGCCCAACGCCCACGCTCCTCCAGGGCCTCCTTCCCCATCCTGTACTGCAAAACACAGCCAGGGCCAGTGCCACAGCACCCACCCTTCTCCAGAGGCCCCTCACCATCCTGTACTGCCCAACGCCCACGCTCCTCCAGGGCCTCCTTCCCCATCCTGTACTGCAAAACACAGCCAGGGCCAGTGCCACAGCACCCACCCTTCTCCAGAGGCCCCTCACCATCCTGTACTGCCCAACGCCCACGCTCCTCCAGGGCCTCCTTCCCCATCCTGTACTGCAAAACACAGCCAGGGCCAGTGCCACAGCACCCACCCTTCTCCAGAGGCCCCTCACCATCCTGTACTGCCCAACGCCCACGCTCCTCCAGGGCCTCCTTCCCCATCCTGTACTGCAAAACACAGCCAGGGCCAGTGCCACAGCACCCACCCTTCTCCAGAGGCCCCTCACCATCCTGTACTGCCCAACGCCCACGCTCCTCCAGGGCCTCCTTCCCCATCCTGTACTGCAAAACACAGCCAGGGCCAGTGCCACAGCACCCACCCTTCTCCAGAGGCCCCTCACCATCCTGTACTGCCCAACGCCCACGCTCCTCCAGGGCCTCCTTCCCCATCCTGTACTGCAAAACACAGCCAGGGCCAGTGCCACAGCACCCACCCTTCTTCAGAGCCCCCTCCCCATCCTGTACTGCCAAACACAGCCAGGGTCAGTGCCACAGCACCCACCCTTCTTCAGAGCCCCCTCACCATCCTGTACTGCCCAACACCCACCCTCCTCCAGGGCCTCCTCACCATCCTGTACTGCCCAACACCCACCCTCCTCCAGAGCCCCCTCACCATCCTGTACTGCAAAACACAGCCAGGGTCAGTGCCACAGCACCCACCCTCCTCCAGAGCCCCCTCACCATCCTGTACTGCAAAACACAGCCAGGGTCAGTGCCACAGCACCCACCCTCCTCCAGAGCCCCCTCACCATCCTGTACTGCAAAACACAGCCAGGGTCAGTGCCACAGCACCCAGCCCTGGCACCAGGGCAAACACTCAATAACAGACTTTATCCAAGTATCAACACCTCCCACCACTGTCACTGGGCTTTCTCCCTGTGATCTGCTGAGAAACCCAAGGGTTAAGGAAAGGATCCCAAGTAAAATAAAGTTTTGGTAGTTTCATCTTGGTGTCTTGGCAGCACAGCTGCATAATTTTTCATTTGAACATAAAGCTCACATTGCTCTAATGAGGGGCAGGAGGCACTTCAGGAGGGCCAGGACTGATCCCACAGCACAGCTCCATGGCAATTCCCACTGCTCAACCCCATCCCAACTCCAAGCTGCAAATGCAGAAGGGTTCTTGTCCAAACCAATCAATGTCCATCAACGTGGAGTTGTTCTTTGGCAGAACAGGTGGGTTTCTTGTGTGGATAACTGCAAGGTTAAGTATTTCCCCCTGAAAAGTCACCATTCCTGCAGCAGCATTTCAACCACTAAAGCATACTTTGAGAGGCTCCAATGAAAAGACAATGTGATGCCTCAAAACACGAATATCTGGCTTCCACCCACACAAAAGCATTTATAAACTATCACTCATTTACCGTATTTTCTTTCCCCATGCCAAAATAAATCACTGATTTACCACCTTTTCTTCCCTTATTCCAAAATAAGTCGCTCATTTACAATATTTTTCCCCCATTCCAAATTAAATAACTCATTTACCATCTTTTCTCTCCCCATTCCAGAACAGGTCAGCCACTCACTTCCCCCAGTTCATGACACTACCTGTCTCTTTTAATTTTATTTTATTTCAAGCTCTTTTTGTTCTGAGATCAGCCCTGTCTGTGCCTGCCTTTCCCAAAGCCCACAGGCTGCAAGGCATGGCAGTGACACTGCTCCCCCAGAGAAGGCACTTCCCGTGCACAGTGGCTGTGGAACACAGCACTGAAAAGCTCAAAAGGACACTCAGCTCTAAGTGGGACAGTGAAGTGTCTACCAGCAACTCTTGCTGAACAACCAGCACAAAAAATTACCTGCTCGAAATCCAGCCTCATGATGGCCTTCTGGAGGTACCTCACTCCACCATGGATCAATTTAGTGCTCCTGCTGCTGGTCCCCGATGAGAAATCATCTCTTTCTAGAAGGGCTGTTTTTAGTCCTGTGTTACCAGAAAACCAAATTAACTTCTTAAATTACACAATTTGTATGTAATTCATTAAAGACACTTCTCTAGGGTAGAGACAATCACAAGAAAAATTACTCTGTACATGGATAAATTTGTATTCAAAGTGCAGTGCACTGTCTATATTGTAATGAAAAATTTTAGCCTTCTTCCTGAGGGAAAAGTCAAAGCAGAACTTAAACAGCAGCACATTAAAAGCTGGGTATTTCACAATGGAAGGGCATTACTGCACATTACGGGGCCATGCTCCCCAGGGAAATGACAGCTTGGCAGGAACAGAGGGGCTCCATGGACACTTTTAACCCTTTGCAGCAGGGAGCTCTAAACCTCCTCACCAACCACCTAAGTGGCATTCCAGAGAGGGACACAACTGGCAGCTCTGCTTACTTGGAGGTTGCCTCAGAGGTGCCCAAACCCAGGAGAGAGCCCCAGAGCGTGGGGCATGCTTGGAGCTCTGACACACACAGGAAACAGCCTGATCAGCCTTAACCACTGAATCCCTGGGGCTGGAAAAGACCTCCAGGATCCCTGAGTCCAGCCACGCCCCAGCCTCTCAATGTCCTCTTGTCATGAGGGACCCAGAACTGGACACAGCACTCGAGGGGCCTCAGCAGTGCCAACACCGAGATATTAACATCTACTGGTCTTCCAAAACTTTTATGTCCTTAAAAAAATCTAATTATTACTGGTAACTTGCAAAGATCAGAGCAATTTATTTTTGTCGAATGTGACTGAAGATTAATGGACACAATCAGGAATAATTTGGTGAAGATTTATCAAACACACGAAAAGCAAAATTTGTTGTTAAGCGAAGCAAACACGATAAAAGAGCAAGTTCCATGAATGAACAGCAAGGAGACACAACTCATTAACCAAATGCCCGTGAATATTTCACACCTCAGAGACCTACTGATATAACCAGTATATCCAAGAAAAGGATAAACAGAGATTAACTGTAATCATTTCTGTCTGCTTTACAACTGCATTTTCTGCCAAAGCACAGCAGAGGCAGAAGTGAGAAGATCTCTGTCCTGTGTTATTAAACATAACAACCAGGCTGGAGCTTGGACTTATCTCCCTGTGGTCAGCCCCTCCTGCTTTATCCATTCCATATTACCACACCTGCTGGACAGGGGTTTCCCAGCTCGAACTGAAAGGCTCTCCTGGGGTTTTGCCTCTGTTCCTAAGGTACATGTCCAGGTTAAAGAGCCTGGGAGCTTCAGGTTCCCCGCTCTGGCCAGTTCCCCAAAGGTTAGCATGGATCTGCTGTGTGCCCTTCCTCAGGCTCCTGCCTTCAGAGAACAGGTCTCCCAGCCAGGATAACCAACCCTCTGCCTCTGAGAACCTCAGAAAAGCCGATCTGAGGAGTTTGCTGTAGGCCAGGCACCCCAAAGGGAGCCCGCAGGGGCACCCCCAGGCCCTCACCTCTGGTGGCTGCATCCAGGGCACAGCCACAGCCCGTGGCTCCCCCGCCGATGACGAGCACGTCGAATTCCCCGCTGCTCTGCAGGGCCGCAAGCTGCTGCTCTCTGCTGGGGAGATGGTCCTTCCTGCTGGGAACACCTTCCTCAGCCCGAACCTGCACCAAGGCGCCCTGCAAAGATGGAGCACAGCCCGTGAGGAACCGGCTTTGCCCTGCACACACACGTGTGGGGAGAGACAACCCCCCCAACACAGCCTTTCCTAGAACCACAAAGGTAAACTCACTCATTCCCAGCCACTTCCCCCACTTTTAGCAATCAGATCGTGTTAAACACTGAGGAGCAAACAGTACTGAATCCATGAAGTGCTACCACGCCTTTCCTTCACCTTGCCCACCTCAATGTAACACTGCACTCATTAGTTACTACCTGTATTCATTACTTCTAGGAACTCTCCAATGCTACAGGATGCTGTTATTATTTTAGTAAACACTACAAAGGAAGCATTTTAATGAACAGACACAGGGCTGGGCTCTGGACTCTCGAACAAAAAATTCACCCCAGCAAAGGACGCAGAGCTGAGTGTGCATTTCACATTTCATGCAGCGGCATTAATCCAAGCTCAAGTTTAATGAGGTTCAGCAGTGATGTGATTGCCAAACGTAGTGCCCTGAAACACCAAAGAAACTCTTTTTGAGAGACTTCTAAGCAATGCAGTTTATGTCCTACAGCACGTTAAAATACAACGTTTAAGTGACAAAGCCTAACAATGTGGCAGTTTCCAGACATGCTCCCATTTTCCTGGAATGGCCCTGGGGATCTCTTTGGGCTGATATTCCCAGAGCCAATGCTGCTGTCTGTGCAGTGACTGTGGAGAGAAGGGCTGATGCTCAGCCACCTACCAGGGACCATGGCTCAAGCAGGAAGGGTTTGAGCAGTCTCTGAAGGCTCTCTGCTGTTAACATCAACTTAAACTGAATTCTAAACATTTCCAGACTTTCTTGAAAATTATAAACATTTTGAACACCAGAAAAACCTGTTTAACCCTAATTTAATACCTAATTTAGGCCGTCTCCAGGCCAAATGGCAGACTTAACTATGCAGAATGGCTTCTGCCCAGATCTCCCAGGCAGGAAAGAGCAGACTAATAAAAATTCAAGTGACAAACCACAGAAACTCCTTTCCAGCCAAGCACAAAAAGCCTCAGTTCAGATTATATGGTGCATGCAGCCTAAATATTTTTGTTCAGAATTATTTGCTCATTCCTCAGCAGTATCATGATTTAAATGCATTAGTTCTGTGTCCCTCTCCCTACTATAGAGCTGAAAATAAAATCTAAAAACTAGTAGCCATGACTCAAGGAAGTGCACATTCCAAAGATAATTAATGGGCAGATTCATCCTGCAATCAGGGATGATACTGACTATAATGCAAGTAGCTCATGAAAATCCCTAAGGACAGCAGCAGCCACTGTCACTGCTGGTGGGGCACAATACAATCCGTGGGGAAAATGGGGCTGGAGACAGACTCCTCCACTTCAAACTGAGGATCCTGTCAGGTCCTGGAGCTGCTCCAGGGCTGCAGCCCCTCTGCTCTGGGGCCAGCCTGGGAGAGCTGGGAATGTTCCCCTGGAGAAGGGAAGGCTCCAGGCAGAGCTCAGAGCCCCTGGCAGGGGCTCCAGGAGAGCTGCAGAGGCACTGGGGACAAGAAAGAAAAAATAAGATCTATAAGAAATCCTGTTTCCTCCCAAGCATGGTGACCCCTGTGGGATGAGCTCTGTCCCCCAGCCCACGGAGCTGCAGTGCCCAGCTGTGCCCCAGCTGCAAAGGCAGCAATCTCTGCTCAGGACCCGGTGCTCACAGGCACAGCAGCCTCACACAGAGCCCCCAAACACAGCCCCAGCTCCCGAGGCACTCCTGGGGCTGGGAGCAGAGAGGAGAATCCTGATGAGCCTGGTACTGACACACTAACGTGTGCCTGCTGGCACAGACCACCAGAGCAGGGACAAAGTCTGGGAGCCTCAAAGAAACTCAGCTGCCACATTATTCTCCTGGTCATGGAATTCTGCCCATCCCCACGTGCTCCTGCCTCTTGCCCTGCTCTCCCACTGGCTCTGTCAGCTCTAGCACTGCTAGAAAACTTTTACAAGTACAATAAAAACATATAACAGAATCCCAGGAGGGTTTGGGTTGGAAGAGACCTTAAAGGCCACCCTGCCACTGCCAGCCAGCAGTGACAAGCAGGAAATTGGGAACACTAAAAACACCCTATCTTGCACGTGTTTGGTTTGGCTGATCAAGCTCAGCGACGTGTGATCAACTTCCACCAGCTCTGGAGAATGAAAATCCCCACCTCCAAATTTACTTTGCACTACATTTCCTGAGAAATTTCCAAGCATTCTGCTTAACTTCAGGAAAATAACACAACACCAGAAAAGACAGATCTGGAGTTCAAGAAATACTGGCATCAGATGGGTTTGACTCCATGTCTAGGTTTGCTTTAAACCCATTATTTACAACAGATGGCTCCTAGCAGAGCCCAGAGCAGAGTCCCCAGCATCCAGCCCCTGGTATAGCCAGAGTGTGCAGATTAGCCCTGGAATATAAGCAGAGTGATTAGTACCAGGAATTGATATAGATATGATGCATCTTGCTGTCAATTAAATGGGGGAGTGAAGAAAAGCTGCACACAGGGATTCCATCTGCAGTAACGTGATTAGTTTGGCAGTGAACAAGTGTGTTTACTGAAATAAGCAATTGCTGTTTATATCTACAATTTCTCAGGCAAGAGTTCCCTGAATGGTTTTGATTACGCTCTTAGTGAGAGGAATTTAGTTTGGCAGTTTGAATTTAATCATCAAGTTATAAAGTCATCTAGTAATCCATAATCCAGTGCTCTCGTTAATTTGCTACTGTAAATCTCCAGGTAGGTTTGCAGAGTCAAATTCATCATCCTTATTCATTTAAACAAAAAAATACAGTAATTAGAACTCCCCAAAGCAGGCCCTGATGCATTATCATACTATCACACTATTGGATTCACCTTGCTGAGCAATTCCTACTGACCAACAAGGCACTCACACACCAGGAAGGGCAGGATTGGGAAAGGACAGCAGAATCCTACAACTCCAAACCAAAGCACTGCCTTTCCCCTTAGTGATGATGAGGGGAGAGGAGAGGGAAAAGCCCCCAGTGGTCTCCAGTTCCACCTGATATGTCCAAGAACACCCCGTCTCACAGCTGGCACCAGCCTGCTGAGGTGGATGCATTAAATGAAGGCCCAGAACCAGAATGCAGCAATGCAGTCAGGGAGCAGGAGGACCTGGTACTTCCAGCTCTGTGTCCCCACCAGTGCTGGCTGTGCTGGTGAAACAGCCAGCAAAGGCTCACTGTGCCACCTGGGCCATGCAGGTGTCTGAGTGTTCGAGGCCAAATCACAGAATTCCAGACTGCTTTGGGTGGGAAGGGACCTTAAAGCCCATCCAGTGCCACCCTGCCATGGCAGGGACCCCTCCCACTGTGCCAGGCTGCTCCCAAGCCCTGTCCAGCCTGGCCTGGGACACTGCCAGGGATCCAGGGGCAGGGCTGGAATGACATGAGCTTTAAGGCTCCTTCCAGTCCACACTGTTCTGGGACTCAACGACTCAATTCCAGTTGCATAAATGTGACCCAAAATGCCAGCAGATGCGTGTGCACAGAAAAATTAGTTGGGATAAAAGCACAAGTGGTTCTGTGATTTTGACTCCATGATCATGCTCTGTAAAACCCCGGGGTTTAATCTGTCTCTGGAAGTTCATATAGGCCATCCATCCCCAGAAAAGAGGAATTCCCTGAATTCTGGAGTGCTGCAGACAATATGCAACAAGTGAGCTCTCCAGGTGACTTTTCCCTTCCAACTCCTCTCATTTAGCAGTCCTAAAAGCTGCAGCTGCCATTTCTGACAGTAATGAAGCCAGGCTGTAAAACCCTGGGATAAAGACTCTGGAGAGAACATTACCAGCTTGGAGCAAGGCAGGCAGCCCGATGGGGAGCTCACTTGAAATGCTGGGGTTTATTTTCTGCAGCAGTATCTGAAGCCATAAGAATCTTGCCTTATCCACTTCCCAGCTTGGCTCCCCAGACATGACTCATCTCATTCCCAGCTGCTCCTCCTCCCCACAGAAACAGCCAGAAAAGGGATTTAAACACTGATGTGGATGGGGGTACATGGGTCATGGTGGCCTTGGCAGTGTTGGGGGAATGGTTGGAGTCTTGGAGGAATTTGCCAACCCTAACAAGTCCACGGTGCAATGATGAAGAAGGGAGCTCAAGAGCACAGCCACTCCAGCCCTGCTGGGAGGAGCAGATATCCAGGGAAATCTGTGTTCTCCAGTACACTGACATGAGATGTGCTGCTTTCCTGTCACAGGGCTCCAGCACCACCCTGCCCTGCTGGGGGCACTGACTGTGCCCATGCCCCCTCACCTGGGGCACAGCCCTGCAGGGACCCCGGCCCACGGGGCTGGGCTGTGCCCACCAGAGGCAACAGGAGCCTGCCCTACGCCTGCCTTGGCACACGTCCTGTCCCCAGCCCCAGGAGCCCAACAGGAGCTGGCACCAGCACTGTGCTGAGGCTGGGATGTTCAGAGGTGGTGCTGGTGGTTTCAATTCCAGCTTCTCAGCTTGGAAACACTGTGCAGACAGCGCTTTTACTTCAATCAGGTCTTTCCACTCCTCCTGCAACTAAGTAAAGCCCCCAGTGGCAGCCAAAGGTCATTTTTTAAAACTATTTGTACAAGCCTGACATATGCTGTGACAGATTTTAAGTTTCCTATTTTATCAAAAATCGTAATTAATACTTACGTGTTTGTTTCTATGCTGAGAAAATTGAGAGAGGCCAAAAACTGTTGCTATGGCACCTCCTCCAATGAGAGCAGTTCCTTTCACTGCCTTCTGAAATGCCATTTTTTACTGGAAGAAAAGAAGATAAAAATTAATTGGCAGTTTTACCATGTCAGGATCTGGTACACACAGAATAAACCATTTGAAGAAACTAATGACAATGTTGTGACAAGTTGAAATTTAGGGTAGCAATATCTTAATTAGAGATTTTAACTGCAATATTAGTAACATCTAAACAAAGTCTAGACAGAGGCAAGCCACAGCGCTCTGGTGTTTGCTGAGAAAGCTGAAGGATGAAAGAGTATTTAGATCAGAGCAGGTATACACACCCCACGGTGACCCTGAGCACGACGGCCACTGCCAATCCCACGGAAAGGCAGACCAGGAACGGCCTGTCCCCAGTGCCACCAAACCCTCGTCCCGACAGCACAGCAGATCTGATCCTCCTCCCCACCTCCTGCAGCTCCCTGCCCATCCCATCAAACCCACCAAACCCCCCTGCAGTCGCTGCTGCCTCGCAGGAGGGAGCAGGAGCTGCCCAGAGCCCAGCCCGTCCTACCCCGGCTGCAGCAGGAGCAGGGCCCGCAGCGAGAAGCACGGGGACAGCACTGAGTGGCACTTCACACCCAGCTCCAGAGGGCTTGAAACCAGCCCTATGTGGGTCAGGCAAATTCTTAACAGACCCAGTGTTCGGATCCTGAATGACAAACGTGCGCGGGACTGACCTGAATGTTAAGCAGGCCCAGCCCGCTCCATGTTCCCCGGCGCGCGGGGTTGGAGCGTGTCAGGGACAGCATCCCTCCCACCTGGGGACCCCCCGGGACCCCCTGTCCTGGCCACACTCCCCAGCAGTCCCCAGACGGTGATTTAGCACCAGCAAGGCTTAAAGCAAGGGCAGACTGTGTGTGCAGCCCTGCGCCAACTCCGCAGCACCAGCTCTTACCAGGCACGGGGAGCAGCCCCGGGCCAGCAGCAGGGAGCCAGCTCCCCATGCCAGGCTGGGCACAGAAACATGTTCCCAGGCTGGAATGCCTCACAGGAAGGAATTCCTAGTTGTCAGGGTGGGCATGCCCCGGCACAGGGTGCCCAGAGTGGCTGCCCCTGGATCCCTGGCAGTGTCCCAGGCCAGGTTGGACACTGATGCTTGGAGCAGCCTGGGACAGTGGAAGGTGTCCCTGCCCATGGAACGAGATGAATTTTGAAGTCCCTCCCAATCCAAACCTTGACCTCATTCCCTGAGCACTTTGCCTGCAGAACACTCAGCGTGGGGGAAATCCCCCACACAATTTCTGGTGCAGGCACTCGATGCAGAGTGTGAGAGATGCTGTGTGTACAAACTGTGTAAGGGATCGTGTACAGAAGGCCAAGACTTGCAGCTTCCCACAAGTTTTTCCAAAGAGGGGCACTTGTGCTCTTGGGGACTCCCACCACGACTGCCTTTCTTGTATCACATTTTCCGCTTACTTATTACTATGGTCACAAAAAAAGATCAGCTTCATCTTTCCTTTGTGCTGTGACAGGGAGGAGTGAAAGGGAAAGGCGACAGACAAACCCCAGCAAAGAGAGCTCCTGGGAGGGAAGGGAAGTTACTGTGGAGGTCTGGCCTCAAATGCTACAGCACCTCCCTGAAAACAGAGAGGAAGACTATGGACAGTCACAAAGTTGTATCACAAGGTGGAATCCTGGAGAGCACAGGAGCTGGAGAGCAGTGGGAACACCCAGGAGAGCACAGGAGCTGGAGAGCAGTGGGAACATTCCCGTGGCCATCCCCACACTGAGGGAGCTCAGGCAGGCATCACTCTCACCCGTTTGCAGCCGTGCCACACAGACAGTGACACCCAGCACTGTGGGACACACACCTGTGCCCCAGGCTTCCAGGAGGCAGGAATGACAGCTCTGCTCCCCAAGGAAGGCTGGTGGCAGTACTGGAGTAGTTCCACAGCCCTCACACAGCAGCAAAGGAGTCTCTGTGAGAGCCTGGAACCCCTCCAGGTGCCTGTGCCAGAACACAACAATCCAGGGAGCTGAAAAGGAACAAATCAGCATCTTCCAAGGAGCAGTGTCACACGTCTGCAGAGATGCTGGCTTGCAGGAACACAAAGGGAAATGAGCCCTTTCCATGGGTATGAGCTCAGGAGGAAGGGCGATGGCTGAAGCACAACCCCTGCTCAGAACCAGGGTTCCTGCAAGCACAGACAACACTCAGCCCTGCTTCTATCCCCCACCTTGGACCCGTGCTGAGATTTCATTTCAGACACCAGGGACACACCTGCCAGTTACAGCATTCCTTTCCATGGAATTCGAGCACAAGGTACACAAACCACTGACCAAGAAGCTCAGGGATTGTCACCTACACCCCAGTGGGATACAGCTGTTCCAGCTGAAGGGACATCAGACATGGCACAGCTTTCCCACTTTCATCCTGCAGGTAGCATCTCTAACACCCAGAAAGGGACTCGGTGGCCCTCCCTCGGTGCCTCAGGGCTCCCCACTCCTTGTCTGGCCCCGGGGCGTGTTGCATTAGCTCTCCTTGGAGCTGAGAGCCGATTACAGGCAATTCTCCTGAGAAAGGAACTCTCCCAGAAGACCAGCTGCTCAAATTGCCACATCAATCTTGCTCACCATCCCTAAGAGAAGCTTATTCAGGAGAGAAAGGAAAATAGGGCTCAGCATAAGCCACTCTAGCACAAAGCCAGACAGGCATTCCAACCAGACTGTGCTTTTACACCTGGATCAGCTCAATTGCATCCCGGGAACTGTGAGCCTGCATTTCTGAGGATGTGTTTGGATGAGGCTGGGTGAGCTCAGGGCACTGCAGGGGGGCAGAGCGCGGGCACCGCTGGCACCAGGCTCTGCCAGGGCACGGCACAGCTCTGGTTCTTCCCAAAAGGAACGGCTCTGCGGGCAGCAAATGGCACACAAGGTCTCCTCTGGAAAGGAGGATGACCTGAACACTGCCTGGTGGCCACCAGGAAAGGAGAAAGGAGAGGCTCTGAACACACACTGCTGGGTTTTCCCCCAGCTCTGTCCCAGACGGCTGAGGAAGGCTGTGCCAGCTGTGAGCAGGATACACCCAAGGGCAGGTGAAAGGGGAAGGAATGCAGCCCATGTGGTTCCCACGGAGGCTGTACCAGGGAAGAGCCCACGCTCACAAACCCCTCCTCTTCTGCGAGCAGATACTGAGACCTGCCTCCCTTCCAAGCTGAGATCAACAGCTTGTGACAGAAATGGGATTTTATTTTAATGAAAATTATAATAGCAACCAGCATGAGAAGCACTACAGTCAGAAATGTCATCTTTCCATCACGCAAATATTCTGAATCACCTTTAAAAGCGGCTCAGAGTGTTTCAGCGCTGTCAGTGCCATCTGACACAGTAAATCTGCATGTTAAGCCTTACCCTCGATTTCAATAGAAGCCATAAATGGCACCTTTGGACCCATGGCCTCACCTGGAGGGTGGGCTGAGGTCCCTGACAGGCTCTAGAACAAGCTGTGGCAGGAGCAGGAGCCCTTGGCTGGCGTGGGAAGAGCCAGGAGCATGTCACAAGGAGTAGCTACTGCATAGAGTGATCTGTCCAAGGAGTTCAATAACCCCAGGGAACAGTTCCCAGGAACAGCTGAGCACTGGTGAAGATTCAGAGGGACATTAGCTCAAACCACTATTAAAGGATTCATGATAAGAAGAAATAGACTTTAAACTTGAAAGGACACAAAGGGGTGGGGAGAGCAGTCTACACAAAATGGAAACTACACAAAAGATTTATCAGCACAAGTTCCTGCTTTCAATTTCCAAAAGTTAATACAAACCCCAGTCACAGCAGGAAGTCCTTGGTGCATTCCTTAACCATCAGTCACACTCACTTGGACTACAGCAACATGGAACAGCCACTTCCAGAGGAGTCTCCCACTGGAGACCCAGGCTGGTGACCTGCTCCCTACCCCAGGTGACCCTCCCCAGGTATCAGACCCTGGACCTGCTGTGTCAAAGGCAAGGGCTCCACTTCAGCAGTTAATGCACTCCTTACACTGCTTTGCTTCCAACCCCAAAAGCCCACAAGGCACCACTTACACCCTGGTTTTTGAAGAAGGGATTTCAACAGCCACCCTCAGCAGATGTCTCTGCACAGCGCATCCCACATGGCAAACCTCTGCCACCCGCAGCCCTCACCAGGCTGGCACAGCTCCTGGGAGTGACTTGCCTTCCTTTCTTCCCGTAATGCCCGGCCCAGCCAGCTGCCAGACTACTGTCTGGATGCTCTTGGGATTGTGCAACCCACTCCCACCCGGGCAGCAGCTGGCTGAAAGGGAAACGCCACAATCGCCAGCGCTCCTAACTGCAAAGATACAGGGCTGGAGCTGAGCAACCCATGGCCAAAGCTGGGGGAAAGAATGAAAGGAATGAGGGAAGGGGAATGGTGGGGAGCTCAGCCCCAGAGCCACGAGCTGGAGGGCGAGGCAGGATGGTACTGCAGCAGGAGGGGAAGGACAGATGGATGGAGGCTGCAGGGCGTGAGCCGCCCCGCGCTGCCACCAGACGCGGCTCTGAGACGCGCAAGCCGAAAATTGGGAGGAGAAACCCAATCTGTTATGTTGGATACCCGCGTGCCTTACGAGGCCATTGCCATGGAATCCGGGCGCTTCGCATTCCATTGCAAACGAACACGTCTAATAAAGTGAGTCACTCCATGCAAGGCTTAAAAATAGAAAACTTCTAATCATCTCCACTACGGTTTGCATAACCTGCCATTGGCGCAGGAGCATTGTCTAATTCCTTCCTTCCCAAAGCTGCTCAGGTAAGTTTGTGATGTTGAGAGGCACAGACTGGTGTTCCTCCAGGCTGAGCTGAGTCCTGCACTGCTCCTGCCTCTCCAAAGAGCTGCAGTCCTACCCTCAGCTCCCTCCAACCCAGCTCTCATCCCTCTCCAGGACCACTCAAGGTGGCCACGGTGACAGCAGCAGCAAGGCCAGCAAGTTAAGCTCTGACTGGGGGTACTTTCAGCCTTTAAAGCTGTACTGGTCTGTTACCGGCAGTTCCAGGGTGTGTCAAGGCAGGAAGTGGACTACCAACAAGAAAAGGGGATGTAACCAGAAAATAGCCCAATTAGCACCCTCTTAAGCAGGTCACCTAGCAAGCTGTCTCCCGTGTGCCTCGGAGTGCCGGGAGTGGTTAATGCTACACGGGATGACAACTGAAGCAGCTGGAAAGGAACTGATTGAAGCTTAACCCAACCCAAGCTGGAGGTGCTTCCCCTGCAAGGCAGATCTCTGGTGAGGAACACAAGACATGCCAAGGAAGGGCTCCAGAGGGTCCCACCACGGCGGACACAGCACGGACACATCCACCTTGCAGAGCCTCCCCTGACTCCGGGCTCTCAAACACACGGCAGGGCGTTGCAATTAAAGGCAGTATCCAAGAGCAGCTCTCCAGCCGAGCACGGGAACACAACCTGCGATATGCACTCAGCTCACAGGGTCACCCCACAGCTATGTAACACCCTGCATGCAGGACTGCAACTCCCAATCCCCCCAGGCCACCCTGTGCCCGTCAGTGGAAGCCAAGCAGCACTTCACCATGTGGGGAAAGTCCTTCCCACGCTCCAGTACAGGCAACCAGCTCGGCTCCCGTGCCCAAAAGTGGTTGTAGCACTTGTCAGGCACAAAAATAAAGGAGAAACAAGGCAGAAAATAGGTATCCTATTCTCATTCCTCCTCTTGGTCCTACTGCTTCCAACTGCTTCATCTGCCTTTGCTGTGATCAGACACCAAGATATTCCCACCCTGCTTTAGATGACAGGACAACTGCTGTGAACTCTGTCCCGCAAGGAACAAAATTTTTTAGCTTCTCTTTCGAATGTCTAGTGTTTCAATTTTAGCCTAACCACTTCTTTTTCTTCTGCTTCATCACCCTCCCACTTACAGATGATGAGGGGAAAAGTCCTCTGTGTAAACCCCTCTTGGAATTTCAATAGCAATAGTCTTGCCACAGTCTTGCATGTCTCTGGGAATGAGGCAACACTGCAGAGTGTAAACCCTTCTTGGAATTTCAATAGCAATAGTCTTGCCACAGACAGTAGCATGTCTCTGGGAACGAGGCAACACTGCAGACAGGGATGGCTGTAATCCCAAGAACTGTATCTAAGGACTAACAGGAATACAAAGAGACTCCAACGTCAACAGGTATTTTGAGCTTTCCCAGCATACAAACATTACAATATATTTATCAAGCTCTAGATGAAAATATTTCAATTCCCTCCTGTCCTGGTTTCCAGCCTGATCACTGACTAATGCACGCAGGATGATTTCCATACTTTTGTGTTCTCGTGCCAATGTTGTTTTAACTTAAACTTCTCAAATAGTCACGCTCGCTTTCACTGCTGGTGGGGGTTAATATCAGCCATCAACACACACACCATTCAGTGACTGTAAGCCAGTTACTGCCACTAGAAAGAAATGCTCTTGTCAGATACAGTTAATTTATAGCTGTTTCCCCATTTTTTTAAATATATTCTTCATTCCTCTCATTTTTAATGAGGATATTGGAATAGAGAGTCTGCCAGTTCAACTTGATCCCAACGCTGGCACTTTATCCGTGCTCTTCCTTCCACTCCCTAGCCAAAGACTCAAGGAGCAGGGGCTAGAAAACAAGGTGTTTTGCTTTTTACAAGACTGGACATATACCTGCACACACAAACAGGAACCTGCTCAAAAAAATAGCTACAAACTAGGTGGATACTTAGGCGTGGCAAGGAAGTAGCCTAGTTTTATATCCTGGGATACAGATTGAGACCTGATAGCACATGCAAATCTAATCCTGGAGGAGGGGCCTGCGTTCAGAATCACTCTGAAATCAGAATCAATGCTTTGCTTGAGAAGCTTTGCAAAGCAAATAAAAACAACCCAGTCCAAGACTTTGGACTCCATCCACAGGATCTGGCTGTGACTCGGGGTGAGTTCACCTGGAAACCCCTGGAGACAGAGCTACACGCTCGCCCGGGAGCCCGGCCCAGAGAGAGCCTTTCAGGGATATGGAATGTTTCCAAAATCAATACTGTGATGTTGTGGAAGAGCTCTGATTACAAGCTGTCGCTCCCTTACGTAACAAAAGCTATTTCCTAAAGTGAAGCTTTTTGGAAGAAATAGGCTGCATCTCCATTACCAAGAGCTAATTAGTGGAGCCCTAGAGCCCAACAGCTGCTGCTGCAAACAGCTCTGTGGTCTCTGCTCCGCAGAGTTTACCCCAAGTGGCTCCAGTGATCCACAAGCACCCACGGAGCAGTGGAAGTGCAGGAATCCTTCCTTAAAGGGTGATCTACTTCTGCCCCACTTGCCTCACCTTTCTTTTTCCACCCTTTAATTTTTATGTCACAGAATCCCCACAAATACTGAGGTTAGGAAAGCCCTCCCAGCCCACGGAGTACCAGCTGTGCCCCATGCCCACCTTGTCCCCAGCCCAGAGCCCTGAGTGCCACCTCCAGGAGGGGACTTCATCCCCTGGGCAGCCCCTGCCAAGGTCTGAGCCCCCTTTCCATGGGGAAATTCCTGCTGTGTCCACCCTGAGGCCGTTCCCTCTGCTCCTGTCCCTGCTCCCTGGGAGCAGAGCCCAGGCTGCTCCCGTTTCCCACCTTGGCCGTGGTGTCCCTCTCCCAGCGGGTCCCAGGAGGGCTGCAGGGACAGGGATCAGCACCCTGGTGCTCACATCCTGTGCTCCCAGCGGCTGCAGGAGCACACCCACCATGACACAGCTAATCCCTGCAAAACCCAGGTGCCAACCACAGCCAAGAACATAGAGTGGCTTAGTTAATCTGTACAGCCAGGCTGGCAGAGCCCTGGCTGAGACTGAGGGTACCCAGCCCATAAAAAGGCAGAATAACTCCCCGGGTCCCGTCTGCCAGCACACAAACAAGCACAAGGAAGATATTGCCTAACTGAGCTACTTGCAAATGCCAAGCCCTGTTTTGAAACCATCAGCTACGAGTGGAAGGTGAAAGTCACAACTGCAGACTGACAGCAGAAAACCCACATTTCTTTCAAATGTTTGCTAAAGCTTGCAGAGACTTGTGTGGAGACAAAGCAGGCAGCAGCAAGGAACCTGCAGGAGCTGTCCTTTGGAAAACTGCTCTGCACTGACCACATCCTGCCAGCTTCCTAAATTCCTGTCGGGGACAGCCAGCAGGTAGAAATGGATCTCTAGAGAAAATACTACATTATGCAGCAAGGTCTAGTGCACAACGTTGTTATTATTACTGTGCTCCTGTGCACACACATAATTAAGCAAAACGAAGTGTAAATCCATATATACACAACCACAGTAATGCTACCAGTTAGATACAAGGGGTGTGAATCATTTTTTATGCACACTTGTGCCAACTCAAAACTTCCATCCAACTTCAGACTAAGCAAACTGCTAATGCCTAATGTTAATATGAGTAATATTCTGGTTATTGCTGTTGAAGGGGCAATACTGGACTTTGCTTTACATATTAACACAGAAAGATCCTGAACTATCAGACCAAGTCTTTACTGGCTAACCAGTCACTGCTCATCAGTGAAAATTCCTGAAGAGCTGTAACCAAGAATAAGAGAGGAAAAGGCTGGAAAGGAAGAGAAGAAAATGCAGCTCTTTGGGAGGGCAGGAGAGCCCCTGCTTCCCAGCAGCAGGTGAAAGGAGCTGCTCTCAGCACCAGTACTACCTGCTCACAGTAGCACCAGAGGAAGTCAAGGAGGGAGTAAATCCGGCTGCTTTTGAATCCAAGCTCTCCACACACACATTTACATCTTTTCCTGTAGAATCGGGCTTACAGACATTTACTGACTGCTTAACAGAGGCAAGAACTCAGAGAAGTTTAGGCCACCAAGGAATGGTCCCACGAGTACGTTCAGCGGAAGTAATAACTTACTTTCATTTTACAAAGTTCAGCATAACTACAGCTGTGCTATTTTTTACCAATAATTCTGGGGGTTTTTTTTTATAATGAGAGATATTATTTCTACCAGCTCCATCCAAGAAAAAAAAATATAGTCAATGAGCTCTGCAACCTCCTTATTTATTATACATAGATACCTACAGGCACCCAGCAGCTGTCCTGGACAGGGAGACACTGAGGCTGGACCTCTTGCTGTGGGGCATTCTCAGGGGGCACAGGGATGACCCACACACAGGACAGCTGCCAGGGGCTCCTGTAAAACTGCCACACTCTCCTTTCTTTTGGTATTTTCTTTTTCCCATCCAAAAGCTTAAATAATACAGGGGGAGGAGACCGAGAGCACTTGGTAGTGAAAGCTGCTGTATAAGATCATAGAATCATGGAATGGTTTAGGTTGGAAGGGACATTTAAAGCCCACCCAGTGCCACCCCTGCCCTGGCAGGGACACCTTCCACTGTCCCAGGTGCTCCAGCCCCAGTGTCCAGCCTGGCCTTGGGCACTGCCAGGGATCCAGGGGCAGCCCCAGCTGCTCTGGGAACCTGTGCCAGGGCCTGCCCACCCTCACAGGAAGGATTTCTTCCCAATATCCCATCTACGCGTGCTCCTCTTGAGCCTTCCATATGGAATGATAAAATTCCAGAATGGTTAAGGTGGGAAGAGACCTTAAAGATGCTCCGGTGCCAGCCCTGCCATGGCAGGGACACCTCCCACTGTCCCAGGCTGCTGCAGCCCCCGTGTCCAGCCTGGCCTTGGGCACTGCCAGGGATCCAGGGCAGCCCCAGCTGCTCTGGGCAACAGGGCAGGATGAGAGGAGAGGCAGGCAGGATGCGTTTGCTACGCCTTTACAATAAACGGCAGCTGCGGTGCTCAAGGCGCGGCTGCACCCGCGTGTCCGGGCCGGCCCCGCTCCCTCCATCCCGCTCCGAACCCCGCTCCCACAGAACGCGAACGGCACTTACTGCGGGAGCGCCGGGAGCCCGCGTCCCTCTGCGGGCTGCTGCCGGCCGGCGCCAGGAGAAGAGGGGAGGGCGGCTCTCTCCCTGCCCGCCCTCCGCCTGCAGCAGCCAGCCAGGCTCCCCCGAGCTCCGCCTCGCACACCGCCGGCGCCTCCCCGCCCTGCTGCCCGCCCGGGGCCGCGCTGCCCCGCCGAGGCCGCGGGAGCGCCGCCGCTGCGGCCTGGGCCCGCGGGGAGGGGCCCGCTGCGGCCTCCTCATCCCCGGCCTTGCGTGATGGGGGTCGCCGCCCATGGCGGCCCCTCCCCGGGCCTGCGCCCGTCGCGGTACCGGAGGCCTCCGGCCCACGCGTGAGGGCCGGCTCTGCCGCCCGCGGAGCTGATCGTGGTCTTCAGCTGTCTAGGTGTCATTTCAAGTCAGTAAACAAGTGCGAGGATTGGATTTCATGAGTTCTGCAAAGTCAGTGATATTCAGTCACTGGTGATGGGAGCAGTGTTTATCCCAGGAACATCAGTGCTCTTAAAAGGGGCTAAGATCTGGAGTGGCAGCTGGAATTCGTAGATACTCCGGCTTAGAAGCTGTCAATTGAAGAGAAAGAATTGAAAATAAAAGGGAAAGGACCGGACAATGATTTGTTGTTTTCTAAGGATATGGTTTTTAGGGTGTGTGGTTTTTGGAGCACAAAGGAAGAATAAAAAAAAAAAAAAAATCAATGCTTTTTTTGGCAAATAATTTCAGCATGATCCAACATACACAAGTTCTGGATGCGAATGCCTACCCCATAGATGTGTTCCAACATGGCACTAGATGTTGTTTCATCCATCTCTAACAAATACTTGTTAGAGCTAGGAGAATCCCCTTTCCCCCACCCCTCAAAGTGGCTATCTACCCGCATGTAGCTGCACTGTCACTGTTCATGCATGACAAATTTTGAATTTTGATACAGGGCAGTTTAGGAGTGCAAAATGTATCTATAGCCGGTTTCCAAGTGAACATTTTCTGCACCCCAGCGCTGCTGTGTCTCATCAGCTTTTTCCAACCTGCAAAGTCTTGAGTGGGGTAGAAAATGAGAGCGTTATACTACTCTCCTCATAAAGGGAAAGTGCAAACTTCGTAAGGATCACATTTCCCAAGCAATCTCACTTTCCAGCGGTGGTTCTCCCCACCTTCACAGTGCAGCTACCGATAAACAGGGATGGGCTGCTCTCTCCCCTACTTCAGGCTTCTGTTCAACTACTGCACTCTTTTTGTCTTAGTTACTGATTGTTTAAGGTTGGGCTTCATAAGTTTGAAGAGTGAAAGAGTTTTACAAGGTTAAGTAAAAAAATGAGATGCCTGAAAGTGTTGCAAAATTCATCCCTCTCAAGTCTGTTTTTTATTTAATGCCTGGATGAAAATATTACCTCCAGAGTAAGTCTCCGTGCGTGTGGCTTGGTCCCCGGGCCACCTGCCAAGACAGGAATTTCAGATGCCCGAAATCATGTGCTCAGCAGGTGTAAATTGTGTGCGGGGAGAGTTCACCTTTTGTCCTCAACCCCAGAGGCAGTTTCTCTTCATTAGCAAGGGAAGATGGGGAAAAAGATCATCATCGTTTCCTGACTGCGTGCCAGAGTTATGTATCATAAGAAGAAAATCCGTTGATACGTTCACAAATATGTTTCCTGCTAATCTGTCTTCAGGAAAATGTCTTTGTGAGGAGCAAGGGTGGTGACAGTCGCAGGAGAGCTGAGACAAAGGGACAGAGACAGACGCAGAATTTCTCTGCTGGGGTTTTTCCAGCAGGATCCAGGGCAGGCAGGTGCTCAGTGGTGGCTGTGCATTTATTTAAATCTCCATCTCGGGCTGTGGTGTCGGGTATCCCTGCACCGAGCAGGAGGTGCTGCTGGTGCTCAGGTGTTTCCCCTGCCCTGCAGCAGATAAATCCAGCGCCGTGTCCGTGGGGCTGAGGGAGAGAAAGGGGCTGGTTTTTCTCTTATGGTGTGTTATCACTGTAATTATGTAATTATTATTGTTTGCTGTCCCATCGAGATCTGAGCCGCAGAAACAAATGCAGAAATGGCAGTTTTAAAAGAATAAGGTCACGGGCCGCGTTATTTGTGGCAGAACGAACACCATAATTAATTGGCCTCTCCCTGCAGTGGCAGCACGGGAGGGAATGGAAGGAAGGGATGTGGAGCATCGTGTTTTTCTGGGGCAAATGGCCCAGCTAGGTCTGATGGACAACATGAATTCTGTTGGTAAGGAAAAGAAGAAGGACAGTATCTTTTAGAAAGCAAGACTGCTTGGACTGGTCAAGAGTAGTTATTTTCTCTTTAAACGTTTAAGGAGCTTTGTTGTGGCAGGAAATATGAAAAAAAAAATTAAATTTATTTTCTGTACATGTGCTGGAGTGACAAACTGTGTTCAGCAAAAGCAAGGCAAACGGCTCTTCAGAATTGTGCTGTATTATTTCATCTCAGACAATGACAGATGAAAACCAGCCCTGGTGACTGTACTTGTCTGCTGCTTATCCAGGTATTTTCTCCATTGAATTGATTAGGAAAGCTTAGAAAACCTGTTCAAAGACATATACAATGACTTGAAAATTCCCAGCCTGGTATCCCATAATGAATAAATCCAGGATTTGAGTCTCCTGTGTGCTTCCAATGCCCATTTCCCTGGCATTGCCATCTTGATAGCTTTCTTTTGGGGCACTTTAAGCAGGATCTGGGATGAACAGTTTCAGGGTGTCCATGCATTTATAAGGAACTTACAGATTGCCAGCAGCATCATCAATTATTGTGCCGGGAAAAGTTATTCTAAATAACCACATGTATCATTGTCAGTTTGGTTTCGGTGACCTTTTGTGATCCAGAACTATTCCATTGAAAAAGAAGGGATATTGGACAATCCCTGAGAGGCTGGTCTCTGGAGCAGCCAGCATTCCTGGATGGGAGTGGCTCCTCTCCGTGTCCCGTGGCAGGGATATCTCGCCCCATTTTCCCTCTGCCAGCCATCCTGTACCTTCCCCGGAATTTCACTTTGTGCCTTTTCATCTACTGAAACATTTCTCCCTGCAGATTTAAATAATTAATTGGGACGTGCCTAGTGGGTCTGGAGCTAAACTTCAGAGAGGCAGCAGATATGTGTGACCAAGTGACCTTTTGCTGTCCTGCTCGTCCCCGCGCGCTCGCTGTGCTCAGAGGGACGCTGTCAAAATTGCTAGGCCTTAAAACTTTAACCCGCACTGACAAGTTGTTCTACATTATAAGTCTTCCCTAAAAGATTACCAGGATTGTTTTGTTTGTTTTGTTCCAACCATCTTTGCTGAGGGCTCCACAATACGGATTCATTTGTCCTTTTGGGTAGGTGGATATTTTTAAATGCCCGGCTTATTCCGTGACCTGTTAAAATCGAGTTGATGTGCGTGTGCTCCACTCAGCGGAGAACTCGCCGGGGATGGAGCAGTTTCTCTGCACTCTGAAAGAGGAGGCAGGAACATACTTGGGAAACCTTTATGGAGAGGCTTTGAGAAGCCATTTTGCAAGGCCTCTTGTTATCTTCAGTGCTCTGGAAGTCTTGACTGGGCTTGCCTGGTGTGTGAGTTAGTGCAACACCAGCTGGTTCTTACACAGAGGTTTGCTGTCTTTCATGGTGCTCTGATTTACTCATTGGGCTTTATTTCGAGGATCTCCATTTCCCTTCCCAGCTCCCTCAGCTGCTCCTTCAGGCTGTACATGGTTTAATACAGCTCCATGTGAGGAGGTGGACCAGAGCCAGCGGCACAGGTACAGCTGTGCCATCGCACTTCCCATTTTCATGGGCCAGGACAAAGATCAATGCAACACCCATTTTATATGGGGTGACTGCACAGTCCCTCCACGAGACATGGGAGCACGTGTCCCAGCCAGCAGGCAGGAGGGAAGCAATGATACCCACGACCACACCCCAGGTAAGCCACACCTGCACTTTTGAGCTTGATTTGAGTGGATTTACCACTGCATATCAACCCAGCCTTGTTCCTGTCACAGTGCACCAGCTGAACTTGGGGAGAGAGGCTGAGGGTGGCCCTGAGCTGCAGCATCCTCCTCAGAGGGGCACAGCAGAAACACCTAAACCTGCTGGGCTCTGCCCTGTCAGCCTCAGCCAGAAGCAGGGACACCTTCCACTGTCCCAGGCTGCTCCAGCTCTGTCCAGCCTGGCCTTGGGCACTGCCAGGGATCCAGGGGCAGCCCCAGCTGCTCTGGCAACCTGTGCCAGGGCCTGCCCACCCTCACAGGGAAGGATTTATTCCACATATCCAACCTAGATTTCCCCTCTGTCAGTTGAAGCCATTCCCCGTTGCCCTCTCCCTGCAGCTCCTGGTGAAGGGTGCCTCTCTGGCTCTGCTGTACAGGCACTGGAAGGGGCTGTGAGGTGTCCCCAGAGCCTGCTCCCCTCCAGGCTGAACAGGCCCCGCTTTCTCAGGCTCACAGGGGAGCTCAGTCCCCTCACCAGCTCTGTGACCTCCTCTGGGCTCGCTGCAACAGTGCCGTGCCCGTTGTGGCACACGGAACGGATCCCTGCGCACCGCAGCTTGGCAGGGAGCGTTCTCCCAGCCATGGTATGACTACGGCAAGGAGCCCCTTAGAACTGCTTGTTTTCTTGGAGCAGGATTCTGATTCCTACTCGGCTGATCCTGTGAGATTGTCACCAGTTCTGAGGCTCTGGATCACCATTTCTGATACTGCAGGGCTCGATTCCTGCCCCGTTCAGCACCCTCCTACTCGCAGGCAGTTCTGAGGGAAGCCAAGCGTGAGCCTGGCTCGCACGGCTTGGGAACGGGCTCCCAGGGCATGTTCTGGGGTGACATTTGGGCCCCAGGGAGGCCTGGGAGTCACCAGGCTCCTCCTGGTGACAGAATTCCCTGCAGGACGTCAGCCAACACTCCCAGATGTTCTAAGCATTTGCGAAATAGTCCCAGGGACACGAGAAACTGTTCTGTGAGCTGTGAGCCATGAATGCAAGGACAGGTCCCATTTCTGCTCTGGGAACAGGTAGTGCAAAGCCTGTCACTGTGGGGACCCTCTGTGCAATAATTCTCCAAGCCGTGGCACAAGCAGAACGTTCTGCTCTGCCTGCCCCAGAGCAGAGGGGCACCTGGGGACAGGGGTCAGAGG